GCATTCTTTCATTTGGCTGCAGATAAACTCTAGATTCTCCACGTGGGTCCCTCAACTAGAGATAATTGTCTGACCTGTGGGAAACTCAGATCCCTTAAACACTTCTACTTTCTTGCCACTGTTGGCCTTTGGCACTTTCACTTCCCCGGGAGAAATTCGCTTCCCCATGGGGAAGACAAAAGATGACGCTGAATTCTGTCCAACACAGCAGAAAGCCCCTTAATCCATGACTATCAATACTTATTAATAAATCATTGATCAAACTTGATGATATGATTGGGACTAAACTGGTCAGGCTCTTGCCTGTTCTCTGTTGTTCTGTCTGAGGCAGTAAGAAGGGGGACTTTGGGACCGAGACTGATTCCCTGATGACATTTGACAGCAGTGGACTGTTTTCAACATCTCTGGATCCCAGAATAATTGCGGGGATGAGATGCACTCGCCAGTGACCACAAAGCTCCCTGAAGAACGTCCACCAAGACTCAGATGAGAAGTTTCTAGGGCTGAGTTGTAAAGTCGTGTTTCTTGTTCTCACTTTCAGATGGGAAGGTCTACGATGCTTATGTGATCTATCCACGGAACTGCAAAAGCAGTTTGGAGGGGGCCGGCTCTGTGGAGTACTTCGTGCACCAGATTCTGCCTGATGTTCTTGAAAATAAATGTGGCTACACGTTGTGCATCTATGGGAGGGACCTGCTCCCTGGAGAAGGTAAACTTATCACCATACATCAGGGACAGAAGTTCACTCTGCCCCTAGCTCACTCTATGTCCACGTCTAGGATAACTCACAGCTCCTTAGCCTCTCTAGAAGATTTGGAGGAGGACTTAAAACCCAAAGAATTTTGTCCTAATATCCAGAGGCACTGGCTAAAATACTTGAAAGGACTCAGAAAGTCTTTGTAGTTTTCCTTAAATGGGTGAAAGGTCTGCAAACTTACATTCTCACAAGAACAAACAGAATTGTGTTTTCTGTTTCTTAATATTCCTAGTCGATTTCAAGTACTTCTGACAGTTGGGTCACAATCCCAGCATTTCAGTGGTCATTCTCCTTTCTCTCCGTATTTACGTCAAGTACCTATGAACCATCCTTCTAACCCTTCCCAGATTTCTCAGGGACCAAGAAGCATTTGGAATGTGAATGAGTCAGGGACATCATGAGCGTGAGCATTCAACATTAATGTTTAGGAGACTGAGTTTAAACTGGCATTCTTACTGAATAGAGGGGTTCAAGTGACTACAGGATTAAAGGTCCACACGACAGGCCAATTTGATTTATCCTGCAATATTTGGGTCACGTTCATGGCCTCATACCAGCCTGGGAGACATGCAAAGTGCACAGTTCAGGACAACGTAAGCAGAGTCTCCCTGGAGGTCCCCCTCTTCCTCAGCTCTCCCCACTGGCTACCTGTGCAAGCAGAGAGGACTCTCGTGGTGCTCAGATGCTCTCTGCATGTTCAACCTCTGCTCATGAGGCTGCAGGTGTTGGTGACATCACAGATGGTGACATGCAGATGTTGGTGACATCATAGCAGGTGACCAATCTCATTTCTAATTACTACCCTCCCCAGCCAAACATGAGTGCCAGGTCGCTGGCGCTAAGCTTCTGTTGCCTTGATTGTGCTGTATTTCATTTGAAAAGATTTCCCACCTCCCCTCTCTCAAGTACGTCCTCTGACCTTGCCTCAACCAAAGTAAAACAAAATCCAATAAAACAACACCAAACTTCACTCTTCCCATAGAAAAAGTTCATGACGGGCTCATACAGTGTACTTCTTCCCATGACGGTTACTTTCCATCTGTTCCTTCAAATCCACTCTGTGCCCTTCTCTATCCAGTGGCTCTGCATGGCTGACCCTCATGGAATCCATCAGCCCTTGTCCTCTGCTCCATGCTGGGCTTGGCTAATGAGAGGCACTGGCAGGCGCTCAGAGGGCAGGACGCATCCCTGCCCGGTCCGGATGGGGTTGCCAGGGTAGTTGTGCGCCTCTCGGCTGGAGCCCTGGCTCCTGTCAGTCGGCCCTCCTCAGCCACGACACAGCTTGGGCGCCGTAACCGCTCCCTCCCCTTCACACCTGGTGGGTGGCCCTGGCTCCCCGGTATGCCCAGTTGTGGGGCTCTGCGCCATTCCTCACTGATTTCCCTTGGCTCTGCCCACATCTTCATTAAAGTTTCTTTACTCAGTCCTTTTGAGTGTGCCATGCTTTCTCTTAGGATCCTGACTGACACAAGGTGTTTGTCTGGCACTGTTTGACATTCATTTCCTTACTGCTGACTTTGTGGACTGGCCGTCTTTAGCCACCACTCTGTAAGAACATCTTGAGTTGCTTTGTTCATGGTTGTGCCTCCTTAATCACGCTGGTACCTCCTTGCCCTGAGAACTGGGTGTTTGACATGTTCTCAACCCACCCAGAAGTGAAGTGAAGTCGCAGTGAACCTGATGCTCTACAAACACTGACCTGATGAGGGAATCCGATCTTCCTTAAGATTTCTCTAGGCTGGATCAAATCAGCTTCTAAAACCGAGACTATGGGAGAGGGTATGAATTGGACCCAGGACTCCCTGGAGAATTAAGTCAACTCAGCGAAGCAAGGGTTCCTGAGTTTGTGCTCTTTGATATGAGAGTTAAACTTCTAAGTCCTTTTACAACATGGAAGCTAATATCCTAAGAAGATAGTATGTAGCTAATGAGCCTGAATTCCAAGTCTCCTGCTGAATCTCTCAATGTTCACCTTGAACTGAAGGACTCTGTTTAGTTAGGACCCGTCTGCCTGGGAAAGAGGAGGGCGTGGGGTTGATATTCTCACAGTGAAAGATGTAAGATGACACAACAAGTCCTCTATCCGTGTACATGCCCACCTTTCTGAATAAGCGACCTGTTCAGTGTCAGAATCTCATACCTGATTATAACAATAAGAGTTTTTCTTAAAGTTCAGAATATTTATGATCAAAGCATTAGACTTACAGACGGAACACCGGGACACCCTGTCCGTGTCTTTTGTTCCTAGATGCAGCCACTGCCGTGGAAACCTGCATCCAGCAGAGCAGGCGGCACATCTTCATCCTGACTCCTGACATCGTGCACAGCAAGGAGTTTGCCTACGAGCGGGGGGTCGCCCTGCACAGCGCCCTCCTCCAGAACGACTCCAAGGCCATCCTGGTTGAGATGGAGGCTCTGTGCCCGCCTGGCGGACTGCAGCTGGAGGAGCTTCAGGACTCCCTCAAGCACCTCGTCAAAGTGCAGGGGACCCTCAAGTGGAGGGAGGACCACGTGGCCAACAAACGGTCTCTCAATTCCAAGTTCTGGAAGCACCTGAGGTACCACATGCCTGTGCCAAGCAAACCTCCAAGAAAGACTCCCAGCTAGGCATCCTTGAGAGCCCAGGGGCAGCGGCTCTGGCTCTGATGGCCAACATGCCTGGTTTTGTAGGTCCAAACCCCTCCCAGCTGGGTCACAGACACTGTACCAGATGGTGTACCAGAGAAGTAAGAATGTCAAGGGTGTTCAGAGCTCAGGTTTCATGCACTAACTGTATTTCCATTTCCCTGACTCTGAGTGGATGTAAAATGTCCAGAGACTTTTATTCTCAGCCCCTTTCTCTCCACTGTATATTCTCTCCCCCATCTTCCTTGGCTGGTCCTTCTCCATCATGGCCCAACCTCTTCTCACTACCTCTTCCTCTCTCTCTCCTTATTCCTCATCAATATTTTACATGTTGAACATCAAACTGAAAGTTGTAGAGTTAAATTTTCAGGTAATCTTGAAGAACACTCAAATCCCCTCGAACAGAACATTGGTGCTAAATTTTGTTCCCAACATGCTAGAATTTATTAGACATTATTTGACCAGATGCTTATGTTTTATTGTATCAATATTCCTAGTTTTGTTGGAGTTTCTTCCCCAGTTACTCGATTATCATTATAATCAGTTTTTTTACAATCTTTTTTTTCAATTCTGAAATTTCTTTCATATATTTTTATTCTCTTTGAAGATTTTTTTCTCACTGAAAAAGTTACAGAAGAACAGAAAATATAATAGAAGAAAAATAACAAAAATTATTTGTGAATCCATCATCCTAAGATTATGACTTTTAAACATTTGGGTAAACTTACATTTTTAAAAAATGTTGATTTGTAATTCAATGCACCATATATATAGCAGGGATCACACAATGTGTAGTCTTTACACTTTTATCTACTCAACATTATGATAAAAGCATTTGACGTGTCATTTAAATTTTAACATTTTGAAACACGCATAGCGTTCCATCTCATGGCTGTGCTGCAGGTGATGTGTCCAATTTACATGGTCATCATTATAAATGATTCTGCCATGGCCATGCCAGTATGTATCTCCCAATTAAAGCAATTTTCTTTTTAAATTTGATAAACTTGGTTTGTTGTAATTTTTCTATGAAATGAGTAGCACATTTTGGCAGAACTGTTTTGGTAAAACTGAAGTTAATTTGCACAGCCTAGGCCACTCCCTTGAATTCCTTACCGTTCGCATCCCTCTGGGGGCTCAGCCCATCAAAGCTAGGGCTGAGGCACCTACAGGCTGAGAGTCCTATCAGAACTCAGATTTTGCACGTGGCTGGAGATCCTGCTCTCAACTGAGCTGCTGTGTAAAGTGTGTGCTTTCGTATTTAACTGCAAAAGGAGGCTGCACTCCAGACCCTTGAGTGTCATCTTGAACTCACTGTCGTTCAGTTCCTGGCAGAATCTTACCTGGAAAGAAATCATCTTTCTGGAAGGTTGTCTAAAGGATCTGCAGTTATCTATGCCTCTCGATATCCTATAATGAAATCTATAGCCCCGGCCGCCCAGGGTG